GTGTGATATACAGGTGAAGATTGGGGGACGATCAGACTGTGTCCATTAGAGTTACAGCGATATCGTGCTTTATTGGTAACGATGCAGCCATCAACGCATCTAAGCGTATTATGGGATGTCATCAAATGCATTCCCACTAACAATTTCTTCAGGAATTGCATTCTCTAGTAATTCCACCTTAGATTCTCTAGGTGTAAATGAGAAATGCTACTAAATGTGGGATCCTTGCAGCATGCCAACCTGCAAGAAAAAATGCACACACACAGTCTCACACACACAGTCACACACACACCTCTTTGTAAAATATCACAACGAAACCAATGCCGGTTGGTTATTTAAAATTCAGCTGAAGTTTAAAATAACCCCTTCTAGAATTTATTTACCGATATTGTTCCATGTCATTCGCGCTCTGGTTCTTCTCTATGTAATTGGCCTTTTTTTGTGTAAGCACAGGTGTATAATCAAATCAATTACGGCTGAATTGCATTAAGCTGCTTTGATTTCAGCTTCTAGGCACTACATGCTTGCTCTCTGTCACTTTCACTTGGAACACATGAACATAACAGAGCTAGTATTTTAAGTAACAGCTGTACTTTTCCTACTGTGACAAGTCAATATGTCTGGAGTAAAAAGGCTCTTACATTGCATCGCATTTTTTTAATAACAGAGATGATTCTTTAATAACTTATTATACAATCAGTCTATTTCCTCTCTGACTGCTATCTATTCAATTGGAGTACATTTTGAGGTATTTTTTCCTCTCCACATAGAAGTTATAGAACATAATACATGTAAAATAAAGGCTAACCTTAGCTGGTTTTCTGCTTTACAGAAATATAGTAAGGCCTTTGCACGTTCATCTCCTTCTTGCCTTTTCTAATTGGAGGTTGCCTTCGTCTAGATGTCCATGTTAGTCTTGATTAGGGAATAAATGAACACAAAAGGTTAATTGATGTTGCAGCAAACTCAAACAGCTGCTATAAAACAAAAATAATAATGATATAGTTTTAATGTATAAATTGAATAGAGTTCAATCCTACCATGAAACATATTTTCCATAAAATGTTTGGTATTTTTTTAAAGGATTGGTGTACTTGCTGCAGCCTCATGATTCTTTCTATGTATTTATCGCCATCTTCTGGTCGTATAGGAAAAAGCCATCCCATGCAGACCAGAGCCAGGGTGAGAAGGGAGATACACATTTTCAACACACACCAAACGCTTTCATCGAGGGGAAACAGGCTGGTGATCAATTAAATACCAGCCACAGGAAGTAAATGGTTAATTATCTTCACAAGTTACAGTAAGAGTTGCAAATCTGTGTGACTGACTACATAGACATATCAGATAGGATAAGTTTTAACAGTCATATTTTAATAACCTTGAAACTAATTTGAAACATGCATTTTTAATCCTGTAGTCTAGAGTAAACACTTACCTTTAGTGATTAATAAACCCAACTTTGTGCACAATGCATTGAACAGTTCAGTAACATATAAAATGTTAATCATCAAAAACTCAAAGCAACATTTTTCTTTTTTCTCAGAATTTTATTCTTTAAATTATTTTATAAAATCTCATTTATATATTTTCACCGATTAACAATTTTGGCTATTTTCCCTTTCCACCCCCGTGCCCACATATTGATCGTAAGGTCCATACCCCTTCATATAGACATTGTGCAATGATCTTCAGTGCCAAGGTGGAGGGGAGACAGAGGGTGAGGGTCCATGTAGGGTGAGAGGAAAGAGGTATGGGTCTGGGCCTTGTTCAGAGCATGCCAAGAGAGGGTTGGGAAATAGGGAAGGTTCAAGAGACTGCCTAGCTACACCACCACTGTTAACATCAGTAAGATAACCACACAGGGAGGTAAAGGGAGTATTGACTTCCACAATGAGTGTGTCCGGTGTGGGTTAAAACCAATTATGTTCAAATGGCTCAATGTATTCCATGACATAAAATTAAAAAAAGCTCTTGTTTTTTCCAAAATCAGTAATTCACATCCACTGAAACATGTAAAGTAAGCCCCACATTAGAGATTCACCAATGACAAGTTGTCCACTAAAAGGTTAAAACAGTGCCCACAAACTTAGCAGCAGCGCTGAAGACTGTTAAGCCCTTTGTAGTGACCTACACAAAGTGTCAGTCCACTGATTGGGGTCCGCTCCTCGTCCCATGGTGTGCAAGTAAGTTGTCGGTGATTCTCTTTCTAGCTTCTTATCTTACAAAGGCCAACATCTGAAGACACAAGGCTAAACTTGAGCAAAACCACAGATTCATGTAACAATAACTGTACATCTGGGCATGCAACAGGAATTCACTTTCCACTCCATATATTTGTTCTTCATTTGGCAATATGATCATTCTTTCAACATGGCTCAACACTTCTTGAAGTCGCTTTGTTGCTGGTATGATTTGCGATAAATGGACAAGCGCAACTAAAATATATCTATGATAAATATTTTAAAATATGTAGAAAGGCTTTCCTTACATGAAAAGCAAATGATTGCACACCTCCCCTTAGATCACTGAAGACTTTTGTCACACCTAGGTTAGCCAACGTTGACCCAAAAGCATCTCTCAAAGAACCCTTCAGCTACATCCAAACAGTATCAAAAGTTCCCTTCTTTAAATTGTTTAACATGATAACGACAAACAACTGAGTTTTAAAGGGAAGGAATGAACAGAAGAGATCAGACATCACTCCCTGTAACCACACCAGTGTTCACGTAATATCTGAAAGCAAAACAAAATGTCTTCCAGGCAAAACATGGTTATTATTACGGGCAATAACCCTTGTAAGCACATAGTTCATATATTGGGTTACAAGTTGTGAGTTGCTCCTGTTAAAATGCATTGTTCAGTATAAGCATGGTAGTGAATCCATACTTGTGTGTTTTGTAATAACTCTGAATTCCTACCGTAGCTGTCATAAATCAAGCTTTATATTAACTTCATGTAGCCTTGCAAAACCATGTTAATGTTTAACCTACAAGCTGGTAAAACAAAATGTCAATAACACTTCAAATACTCGATAAGACAGCTGAATGAGCTTTAAGGCGTTTAAAGGTTACTTCTGACAGAACACGATCTGTCAAGATAACCTACATTTTTTGAAAGAAATGCGATTTAAAATTAGCCCTTGGATGACTATCCTCTGCCACATACATCATAAAGTATCCCTTTACATTAACAATCAAAACCTCATCACTATTTAGACTTTATACATGTATGACACTCAGTTTACATGTCAGCACAGTTTTGTTCAGCCTTGATGACCCCAGCCCTTATGTCAATAGTTTTGTGTAAATGTCCACAGCAAATGGCAGTAGCATGCTTAAGGAAACTCACCGAATCAAGGTACTAAGAGAGGGCTTTCAAGGTCTTCAAATAAGAAAAGTTGGCATCACTATGCTGTACAGGCTGGAAGACACAACAACATAAATCCCTGTAATGATTGAGTTCAATAGCCTTGTGCTAAATGCTACCTTTGCCAAGGCACAC